AAGAGTCCTTACTATAGGTGTTGGTTGGCCAAAATGATCCCTAGACTTAGCTAAAGCTTACGGGATAAACCCTAGCCAATATAGATATTAAAATGGTAGATTCCAACATTCTAGATTTTGTTCACTAAAAGGTCGGTGTTACAGTCTTCCCTTTCTTAGAAATGATTTCGTCCTCAAAATTAGCCCTATACGAACAAAAGAGGATATCGCCTTTTTATGTCCTCTTTGGCCTCCCACGTCAAGTTTGCACATCAATGATGCTTCCATTGAACTTTGATTAAAATCACTTCTTTATGTTGAAACTTCTTTGAATTTCTTTCCATAATAGCATTGGGTTCTTTCATGTGATGATTATTCCCATCCACCTAGATTTCTGACACAGGAATGACGCTCGCCACTTTCGCTATGCATTTACGTAAATAGCACGCATGGAAAGTATTGTGGATGCCTTGCAATTCTGGTTGTAAGTCTAACCCGTATGCTTATAGATCGACCCGACTGGAGATAGTAAAGAGTCCGAGGAAACGGGGACTAAGCTTCCCACACTTTCCAAACTAGATAATGCCCTTCCACAGGGACACCTTCAACATGACTTGGTCTCTTACTTGGAATTCGAACTGTCTTTGTTTCTTGTCGGCATAATTTTTTTGTCGATCATGAGCCACTTTTAATTGCTCTTGAATGCCTTTTACTTTATCCGCCGACTCTTGAACAATTTCGGGTCCGACAAACTATTTCTCCCTCCCCCCCCCCTCCCCTTTCGAGCCAACATATGGGGGTCTACGCTTTCGAACATACAAGGCCTCCAACTGTGTCATCCTGGTACTTGAGTGGTAGCTATTATTGTAGAAGAACTTTACTAACGAAAAATGAGAGTCCCAAGTACCTCCAAAGTTGATGATGCACGATCTTAACATGTTTTAAGAGTTTGAATAATTCTTTCACTTTGACCATCCATCTAAGGGTGATACATCGTGCTCAACTTTATCTTTGTGCCCCACTTTTTCTATAAACCATACTAAAATTTAGAGGTAAAATGACTATCTAGATCCAAAAAGATAGACAAAGGTACACCATGCCTTGAGATCACCTCGTCTATATATGACATTGCCAACTTATCCATTGGTAAGGTCCCTCATTGCTAGTAAGTGAACACTCTTGGTTAATCGATCCACTATTGCCCAAATCGTGTTGTGACCTCTCAATGTCCTTGGTAGTTTTATCACAAATTCCATAGTGATGTGTTCTCACTTCAATTCTAAAATATCTAAGGAGTGGAAACTTCTGTATGGTCTCTGATACTCGACTTTAACATGAAGACAAGTCACACATCTCTCTACGTACCTAGCCACATACAACTTATAACTGGCCACCAATTGTTCAACTTCAAATATTTGTATATCTTCGTGCTACCGAGATGAATGGAATTTTTGGATTTATGAGCTTTTTCTAAGAGTAATTCTTGGTTTTCTCCAAGTTTTGGTACCTAAATTCGGCCTAGAAAAGCTTTGAGACCACGACCATCTTCCATCAACAAATCATATTGTTTTACCATGAGTTCCATCTTGAGATTCCTGTCTAAAGTGCCTTAGTTTGGAACGCTTTGATTCTCTCAATTAAACTTGATACCACATTGATCCTTGTGAGTGACAATTGAATGCCCCCATCGTGACCCTTCCGACTCATAGCATCCGCCATAACATTCTCCTTAGCGGGGTGGTAAATCAATTCACAGTCGTAATTCTTCAATAATTTTAACCACCTTCTTTGACGCATACTTAACTCTTTTTGATCGATATGCTCGCATTTATGGTCGGTGAAAGGGTACATTTCGTTCCTTAGAGATAATGCCACCATAACTCCAAAACAAAACCACCATAGCCAACTCCAAATCTTGGGTTGAATAATTCTTCTCGTGTTCTTTTGAGTTGACGGGGGGGATAAGCGATCATTTTTCCTTTTTGCATCAACATCCATCTTAGGCCCATTTTAGAGGCATCATTAAAAACCATGAAATCTTCTGATCTTTTAGGTAAGGATAGAACCGACGCTTCAAACAATTTCTTTTAAAGAATTCTAAAGGATTGATATTGAGTTATGGACCATATGAACTTGACATTCTTCCTTGTCAAGGCCATTAGGAGTGAAGCAATATTGGAACAATCTTGGATGAACCTCCGGTGATAGTCGGCTAACCCCAAGAAACTTCTAATTTCTTTAAGGCTCTTTGGTGGTTCCCAATTTATCATGGCTTCAATTTTGGAAGGGTCCACTTTTACTGTTTCTCTAGACACTACATGGACCAAAAATTGGACCTCTTGAAGGCAAAACTCGCATTTGGAGATGTTAGCGAATAATCTTTCCTTCGTAGAACTTCAAGAACTTCCGGAAGGTGGAGTTCATGCTCGGATTCATTCTTTGAGTAAAAAAATGATATTATCGATAAATACTATCACCGATCCGCCTAAGAAAGAACAAAATTCTCGGTTTATTAAATCCATGAATACTGCTGGAGCATTTGTTAAACCAAATGACATCACCAAAAACTCGAAATGCCCATATCTTGTTTGGAAAGTCATCTTCGAAACATCTTCATCTCTTACTTTTACTTAGTGATATCCAAACCGAAGATCAATTTTAGAAAAAACATCTCACCCCTTGTAATTGATCGAAGGGGTCATCAATTAGGGGAAATGGATATTTGTTCTTTACTGTTACTTAATCCAACTCTCTACAATTTATGCACATCTACATATTCATCCTTCTTCTTCTTCACAAGTAGTACTAGAGTTCCCCAAGGTGAAGAGTTCGGCCAGACATCCATTAGATAGACACATGTTCACCTTTATGATGAGATAATTGGGGTAATCCTTCTACTTCTTTCTCCAAAAACTATCATTGTCTCCCCATTTGGCATAGGTATTCAGATCATCTTCTTGGAGCAAAAGATCTCGGCTTAATTCTTGACTAACCAATCCATGTCTACAATAGCGTCAAATCCACTTATGAACATAGGCAACAAACAAACTCACTAAGAATTGTTTTCCATCAATCTCTATCGTGTAATTTTCAAAACACTCACGAATCAAAACTTGATTACCAATTGCTACTTTTACAACTAACACATCCACTAGAGTGGTAATGTCGATAACAAACTATTTGCAAAAAGAATTTGATATGAACGAACAATCTGCACCTAAATCGAACATAACACGTCTAGGAAAGGAGTTAACTAAGAATGTACCTGATACCATGTCGACGGTTTCCTTCACCTCCCTGTAGATAAGGCTTGTCTTAGTTCTCTTGGTGGGTTCTCTTTCTTTGTTGGGTTTCTGCTTGAAACTCCACTTCCCACTAGCTTTGGGCAATCTCTCTTGTTATGGCCTGGTTCAGGACATTCGAAACAAACCACTCCACACATGGGGCAGTCTCGGCTCATGTGGTCCTTCTTCCCGTACTTGAAACATTCAGTCAGGTTTGAGTTGGATCTAGGATTACACATACCATAGGGTTTGTTTTTTCACTTATGACACCATCTTGCTTTTCAACAAGAATCCACATTCCATCCTCTAGAAAAAGATTTAAACTAGCCAAATTCCCAAATAATGAGTTACTACCTTAAATAAAGCACGTTATGTAAGTAAGATGAGCATTTAGACATGTACCTAGTCTTTACAAAGCGTTTTATACTCACCTAGGTTTTTAGAGAAAACCTATAAAACCAAGAAAACCCTAGAAATGAGGTTGAGGGTGAGAAACTTTGATCCACAACTTAGTACTTCAAACCTTGAGGCAAGAAATGCTTTGAAAGCTCTTCCAAGGTAGATCTATGATGGAATCAAAGTATTTAATGCTTCAAGAAATGTAGGTAGGTGACATAAGTAAATTGAGAGAAAAGAGGTGAAATGACAGGAATGAGAGAGATCGTGAGTGAAGTGAAAGTGGGTGAGCTGCTATGATGAAGACGATCACCGCCTGAGAGAAGTGTGTGAGCGGGCGGGTTTCATGTGGTTTACGCCTCATCTTACCCGTGTTCTCTTCTATTTGTTATGCCCCAAACAGCCTTTTTCCATGATAAACAGAAGCAAGGGCGACCCTATTGCGACTTGGCCGCATGGCAGTCGCCCGGTTCATATGAAGGTCCTCACTAGAGGAGTGGGTGGCAAAAAAGATTCCTAGACTTGGCCAAAGCTTGCGTCATAGACCCTGACCGATATAGATATTAAAATGTATTGGATAATATGGTAGAACAACTTAAATTTAGAAATTTATAAAATTAAAAAGAAACATGAAGCATTTTATACAAAGTTTAATAAAAAATGATGTACAAAATCAAGATTAAATGTCCCGACTCTCTATTCAACATTATCTTCAATCTCATAGGATTTAGCGTTCGACTCTCCATAATACGTGAATGGAAGTAAAGATTTATCTATTTAAAGTTTTAGTCTTTAAGTTCTTTTTTTCTGTTTATTCAAGGTTTAGGTCTCATACATAGTAATCATTTATCTTCCGAGATATATACTAAAAAACCCAATATCTTACAAAATAATACACCATAACAATATGCATTAGACCGAAAGTCAAGCCTGAAAATGAAACCAAACATCAACATCATGGTTGATAACAAGTTATTTAGGAGCATGGTGTTGTCACACAATTTAGATTTTTGGTAGGAAAATTGTTAAAAGTCAAAATTCATAGATATTCTAAGCTTTATAGAAAAATCCAAAGCAATGTGAAGGAGTACAAGTAGAATTTTGAAATAAATAGAGTCCATACAACAAGTGAAATACCGAAAATAGCCTCCAGCCTCCCGGAAACCCTAAGAGCTACCCTGTGGCCTATGTACTGCAGTCCTACGAAAACCCATGCAGGCCTTTTTTGTTTTCTTGTTTTTGGCTCACTCCGGCCATAATGAGAGCTGGAGATATTGAATTCATGAGTGGAACTCTGTTGTTGTGTATATGTCCTGTCAAAATAATACCTACGGTTTTTATTCAGTAATCACCGGCGGCGGCTGACATTGATGACTGCAACTGAAGCAGGTGGTGATAGCAGTCCGCCGCCGTCGGCCGCTGTTCCGGATTTTGGTCCAAACACCTGTTCTGCAACTCTCTCAGCGCCTTGGGCAAACCCACCAACCCGCATGTTTTCAGCATCTGCCCGACACCCCATACGTCCACCTTTACCCCATGCATTCCCCTACCTTTCATCTCCGGTGCTTGTCTGTCTCCTCCTCCTCCTCCTCCCACCGTCGTCGCCGCTGCCACCCCTACTTCCTGCTGTGGTGGGTATATCTGTGGCGCACTTGCCGCCTCGTCAAACCCGATGACAAACCACTCGTTTTCTCTGTCGCTTCTCTGCATCACTTTGTCCCAACCCAAGTCTCTGTGCATGAAGGATAGATCATGTAGCGCCACTAACGCTTTTGTTACGTGTTTCAGAGCCTCCACCAACTGCTCGAAATTCGAAAGCTTTAACTTGCATCCTCTCGGCTTGAAACTCAGGCTCAAATCTCTTTCCGATGACTGAAAAATGTATTCTGAATGTGGAATCCGATGATCCAGAAAATCGTATATCTCTTTAACGGTCACCCATTTTCTCTTGCTTGAGAAGACCCTAGTCATATAATTTGGTGTTAATTCGATAACGGTGCCATTACCTAAATCGATTCTTTCGAAGTCACTGTAAGGAAAAGCTTTGCTGATCTGCTGAAAGTTAGCACAACGATCAGCCAACAGTGACAACAAGCCGGCGATCCTCCAACAGGGAACGAAGGCCTTGATTCGATCTCCAGGTGTCGATAAGTCAACTGTGTGGAGATCCGTTCTGATGAGCCTATCATGTGTTCGACTTAATGCGCAAAAGGTGACGATATAGCCAACAGTATAATAACCTAAAATATAAGGAAGATCCAAATAACTCCACAACATCTTCTGCACCATTAAAGAAGACGGATCAAGATTATTATCTTCTCTTAGTTTATCAGTTTCTTCTCCTCTCCACAAACAAAAATTCCTCACAAATCCGGTTACATTAGGCCATTGATCTTGAATGCCATCATTTGACGACGGGGGATAAGGTGGTTTTCGAATGCACACCATTTCAAGATTGCTAAATTTTGATACAACACGATTGATGCAATCATCCCAAAGGCCGATGAATGATTCTCTTGTGGAAGTAGTGAGAGTAGGGTTTGATCGGGCAATTGGGCTTAAAATTTCAAATGTGATGGATCGACAGTCCAAGGGTTCAGAAGAGGTGGTAAAGAAAAGTTCTTTTCCTTGTGGCAGGTCTCGGTACAAGTCTTTTCGGAGAGGGAAACGTAACTCCTCCGATGGTGGTTCTTGCAAGTACCATGGTAGGTCAATCAGGCTTGGTAGTGTTGGTGGCTGAACACGAAGACAACCCAAATAGTAATCCGTCGGATCTTGAAACTCCCATGGTGGTATAGCTGCATCAACATACATACAGACACGGTACATTTATAACTGCATGCAATTCTTTAATAATTGTAACAATGTTGTTCCCATCTACCATTGCCTTAATGATATCTTGATGTTAAAGATCATTAATGGAAGAATTAAAGGTCACCACGATAACAGAAATCAAGAGACATTCAGATAAATTATTGGCTTACATCTAATAGAGGGTTCTGAAGGAGGTTGAGTTCTCTCAGTAATCAAACCTGGGGATGAAAGGAAAAAAAAAAAGAGTTGCATTCAAAGCGTAATTTGTCCGACTTTTAAGTGGGTTGGAAATGGAAGTTCTGACTAAAATCGTAAATGATAGAATAGTTGAACAGTATTGTTTGCATACCGGTACCAGAAGGATGAGGAGCTGAAAAGGATGACTTTCTTCTGCCAAATACTTTGACTTGTTGCCCAGGAACAAATCTATCAACAGAAAAACCTTTAAGAGGGGAATTACCATCTTCAAAGGATTCCAAGGTACAAGCTACCATTGAATCATCCAAGAAAGTGAGTTCATCTGCGTTTAAAAAGCTTGTGCCTTGAACCTTGACTCTACCTCTATGATGCTCACCATCTTCAGCCCATAAGCTCACAAGTTCCTCCCATACCATTCTTACTTTACCAATTCTTCTTAGTTCCTTTGATGTTGATGTGGATGAAGTTTCATATTGACCCACCCCTCCTACATCCACCGGAGAACCCTCTATCCCTAATAAACTCCCTCTAACACCATGAAGATACCCTTCAGTACCCGCCATTATTAGATGTCTACCAGCCCTCCCTACAACAAACATACAATTCATTACAATGTTCGTTACAACACATAAAATATAATGTTACATTTTAGATGGATAACGATTTAGCATTGAATTGATGTACCAGAGGAGGAGAAAGGGAGATCATCGTCTCTGAAAGGCGGAGGAGGGAATGATTTGGCGTCGAGGACAGCTAACCGGGTTTCTTGATCACCACTACCACCACTGCCGGACGTCAAAAGAAACGGGGAGGTTCCTCTACAAATGCTGTTCTGGGGAGTTCTCATTCGAGAACCCATAAACTGTGCCAACTCTTCAAACACTTCTTCATCAAAAGAAGCAGGCAGCCGATGTAACTTTCTTTCATAAGGTGAGAGCCTAAAATAACTCTTCCCAATTTGCTCTCTCTCTCCACCTCTTTCCCACTCGTAAACCTTTCTGAATTCACCCAACATGTTATCCCATTTTGTCCCTGCTGTTTTAGCATCCCTATTCACCCCATTTCTTTGCAAAAACTCTGCAACTTCTCTATCTTTCTCGGCTCTCGTTTTTCCTCTTCCCTGTAGTTGAGAAGGCGGGGCTGGGGGAATCAAGTTGGCTTCCATGGTTATTGGGTTTTCCGATGCATGATCCGACCCAGACGACCCACCACCACCTTGGTATTGGATCCTCCAAGCTCTAGCTAGCCACAGCATTTCGTTGGGCTTCCAAACTGGGCTCACGTATTTGCCTTTTCTTAACTGGTGTTGGGTATATTGCTGCTCTCCTTCTGGCTTGCTTGTCTCTTGGCCGGAGACAGATGGGCGAGGTGAGTGCGAAGGGGAGGAGGCGGTGTCCGACGAAGAAGCTGCGGCTACGGCGCCATGAGTAGGTGGTTGATTGGAGGATGGAGAGGGGGTTTTCTCGGAGCCAACAACATTGATGGAGATCTGTTTTTGCGATGGAGATGGTAAGAGCTTCCATTGACCGGTAGCACTAGTATATCTAGGTCTCTTTGGATTGAGTGGCTCAGTCGAGATATAGAGCTGGGAAGGAGGTTGTGGCGGTGGTGGAGTGAGGAAAGTAGGAGCACCAGGGACGACCACCGGCGGTTCTTCTAGGGATTCTTGAGGTGGGTTGTCTTTAGGAGAAGGTGTGGAATGTTGTTTCTTGGGGGGCTTGTCTCCTTTGTTGTCACTCATCTTATTGAACTAATGGGAGCACCAAAGACGCATCACTTAAGCCAAAATGATAACAACTCGTTAGTTGGTGTTTGTTAGAAGATAGAGAAGGGTCGAAAACGAAAGCAAACAAGATCGAAGAAGTAGTGCTCAACAACATTACTGTTGAACCAGCTGACCAGCTTAGTTCAAATCTCTACTTGTTAAAAAAAAAAAAAAACCTAATGGGCTTGTTGTTTTCTGGGGATTTGAGATGGGTTTTTTAATCTCATATATATATTTAGGGTATCTTGAAAAGGTGAAGTTTGAAGAAAGAGAGGAAAGAAAAGGGAGATGTTGGTGGGGGTGTGTGTGTTTTTGTGTGTGTGTTTTTGTGTTTTTAACATTGAAAGCAAAAGGTAGGCCTCTCCCTCTCTCCCTCAATGGAGATAGAGATAGAGAAACAAAAAAGTCGAGAGAGATGAGATTGTGGAACCTGCTGTGATTAAGACCTCTCATTTTAAGACTTCACACGATATTAACAACTTTATTAGCAGAAAAGAGAAAGAGAAAAAGGAGTGAAAGTAATCATTGTTTGCATTCAGAAACGCGGCTACCTCCAACACATATTTTACCATTTTTTATTTTTATTTTTATTTTTATTTTTATTATTGTCATTACAGTAACAATCGATCAAAATCTTTATTTTCATTCAGCCATTTCTTTCTTTATTTGACACACACACACACACATACACATATATATATATATATATATCCTTCACATGCATTCTTGATGATGTTTGCTATATATTCAATTTCTTGGTAAAAAGGATTTGTAAGTATAGCTATACATATACTTTTTCATCATGTGATTCAGCTTTGGATCCAATTAAGTCTTAAATCTTTTTCCGGTGACCTTGTTTCTTGGATCAGTTCCTTAGCTATCTAGTTAGCTAGCTAGCTACCTACGGTAGCAATATATATAGCTAGCTTAATGGAAATATTGTCTTCTTTATATATAATAATATATACACAAAAATTGTGTGAAGTGTGTGTGTGTGTGTGTTTTTGTTTTTGGAGAGCATGCAGAATGGGGATGATGGGGACTGGTCGATCAATGGCTTCTGCTCAGTAAACTCATAACTCTCTCGCACCTCCCTTTCTTCCAAACATTCACTTTTCTTTTTCATAAATGCATCTCATGCTCAACCTTAATAAACCCTTCCATTCCATGATCATCAACCCATGCAATATACATATACATATACATATACATATACATATACATATACATATACATATACATATACATATACATATACATATACATATACATATACATATACATANACATATACATATACATATACATATACATATACATATACATATACATATACATATACATATACATATACATATACATATACATATAAACCAACCCTTCTTCCATCCACCTGCATCTAACTTATGTTCTATGTAAATAATGGATCAAAATCAAGTAAAATCTTGGGAATTTTGGGAAGAACATATGAAATTTAAGTAAAATTAATATTACGGTTTGCGACATGCACATATAAGCTTTTCTATATTGTGCTATTTATCGTTGATGTCTTCCATTACTTTATGGAAAAGGTCGTCAAAATCTCATTATGGAAGTAGACGAGTCATTAATTGTTGTACGATTACATACTTAATTATTGTGTCGTTCATGTTCCCAGAATTTGTATCTTACCGTCCAAAATGAACAAGTGTGATAGATATATAATATATAATTGATTTAGGATCATTATGGGATGTAAATTAACTATTTTATATCCATTATGATCTTACTAAAACGCTAGTAAAGCATCAATACCGCAGCAATCTATCTTCGTGAAGAGAGCGTATCTGATCAAATCGTTTTTTGTTCATATCAAATTTCTCTTATGCTTATCGAACGGACTTTGGCGTTTTGACCAAGCATGCATTGATCATCTTTTTTACAGTGCTTAACATTAGTGTCATCAATCCATTTATTCTATATCTACAGCGAACATTGTTGAGGTGTATCAACTTTTAGGTCAACATTAATAGTCGTACCGCCAACTTTTGGGTCGACATTAATGATCGTACCGCGAACGAAGAAACATCCCTTATTGAAATTTATACAAGTAAATTCTTGGATTGAGCTAATAATTGGATTGGATATCCACTAATAAATAATTACAGGTAAACATATTCATATGTACAAAGCAAATTGGATAGAAAGCTCGAAAAAATATAACCTTAAATAAATTCCCTGAAACTCTTTTCGATTAAATCAGAGTTTTGTGAATTTAAAACAAACATTTAATGTTAATATATGTGAAACAAAATTTATAAGGTCTTAAATAAACCATATAAATTCGAATAAAATCACGGTCGAAACAGAATGAAAGAGAATAATAATGTTACAACTGGTTTGTATAACAATCTTTTGTAATAATAAGGGTGTTTGTATAACAATCTTTTCTACAAAAGTACTTATCAACTTATTATAAGTCAGAAGGATTTAACTTCTTCAAAAACTCCTTATTACCGGTTTGGCACCGGTATAAGTTGTTTATCCAAACACTCAAAAGTTCTTATTATCGGTATCACACCGGAATAAGTCAATAAATTATTTTTATAAACAATCCCAAACACCCCCTAAGATGGTTATTATTCTAGCGATTTAAAATAAAAAATTAACGTACAAATACATGCTCCCGTTTTGAAATTCATGATTTTAAATATCAATCCAACTTTAAAATATGTTTACCGAAATTCCGTCATATTTCTAAAACCATTCATGTTTTACGTTATTTTTTATTTAAAATATTAGGATAATGGCAATTACTAGACTTTAAAAAATAAAAAATCATTTATTTATAAAATTGTATTACTTCGGGGAAGTCAAGGATGGAGTATCTTAATAACCCGGTAACAGAGAAATCAAGGTTCGATAGTCTTATCCGGCCTTGTTTTTTGAAAGATCTATCTCGTATCTGGTACTGCATGGAGTAAGTGGGGGTAACGGCTCTTATCTGGTATGTAAGCACTAAGATGCTTGTTATCAGTCTATTTTGATGACCAAAAATGTTACATAATAAGGTAAGTGATGGTAATGTTTTTATCCTTAAACGTTTATCGGATAATTATTCGATAAACGACCTTTTACCCTTAGAATCAAATGCTACAATCACTTTAATGAACAAGCTAATTTTCACATTACATTTGGTGTAATAAATAGTGACAAATTGTATCAACTTCTATTAGGAGTCCATTATGCAATTTTTAATTGTAACACCCAAATCCTAAAACAAAAATCTAAGCCAATAACTTCGAACTCAATTTAAAATTATTATTGACGTTATTGGTAGCTTATAACTTTGAGTATATAATAAGTAGTCGCCAATCTATTTTTTTTTATCCATGTGGTACAAGTTGGTACATTAATAAACTTTAGAGTTAAATGCAATTTTGGTCCCTATGGTTTACATAAATTAATGAGTAAGGTCCCTGCCATGAACTTTTAATGAGGGACATCCCTATAGTTTCATTTTTACAATTTCCGATGCGGTCCCTCCTAATTTTTAACAAGGGACGCCCTTATGTCGTTAGTGAGGGGTAATTCGGTCCATTAACATTTTCGCATCCTCTACTTTTATTTGGTCCATTCATCTACTTTTATTTCTATACAAGTTTGGCCCCTCCCTCTACTTTCATTTTATAACGGATTTTGTCCTCTCTTTGATCCATAAAAACTTGGTGAGCCAAACATATATCGTCTTAATATAATGCACAAAATAGCTAAATGAATCTACATCAATTGGGTATTTAATCAAAGCATAAAATAAGCAATCCATATAATAAATAAAAGTAGGTTATTCGTTCACAAAAAATTAATATTTGCAACTTGGAATTGCAAGCAAGACAATCACATTTAAATGTAAGATCAATCTAATTTTTAGTATTTTAATTAGTATGTTTAAATGAAAAGGTAAAAAAAAAAGTCGAAAATTTGTGAACAATTATTAACGGTCATATGTATTTGATCCAATAAATATAATTAAGTTTTTGGAATTAAAGAATATAGTGGTTTTTAAAATTAAAGTAGATTAGACCATCTCCAACCGAAAGTGCTAAATAATACTATTATTAAATTTTAGCACTCAAATTTTCATTATTTATCATAATAACATTCAACTGGTTTGTAACACCCGGAATTTTGGACGTTTATGTTGCAATTGCGTATCATCTAATATTTTGATATTAAATTGAGTTAATTATCAAGTCATATAGCGGGAAATAGGGTGGATTTTATGCTAAGTTCTAAGAAATATGCAATTGGGAGTTAAAATAGTGGATAATGTGGGTTAGCATGCGGGTTTAGCCGCATGAAAACCCGCAATATAGTCTGTTTACCGATGGATTCAGGTAAGGGCGACTTTTCATGTGAGTTTAGTTGTATGAAAACCCACGTTCATGGTGCATGTCGGTTTTTTAACCGGTTTTTCTAGGGTTTTCTCATTTCTCTCCCACCACTTCCCCTCATCTTTCTCTCTTGGCGATTTTGGTTCTTTGGGGGTATATTCTTGGAAGGTGTTTGAAGCAAATGTAAAATTATCTGAAAGATTGAAGATTTATGTTGTTTGATTTCAAGATTTTGAAGAGTTAAGTTTTTGGGTGTTTTGAGATTTATATTGGATTTTGTTGTTGCATTTAATATTGTGGTTGATTTTCATGCATCTCTAGACTTGAATTGAGATTTGGAATAAGTTCTTAAAGGAGTTTTTCTTGCTTGTTGGATCTCAAGCCTTCATTTTGGAAGCTAAAGATTTGGGTTGGAATCTAGGTTTAACTTAACCTAGCAAGGAAAGTTTCAAGGTCTTTTGTGAAAATTATGTACATGTAAGGAAAATGTCTATTTTGAGCTTTCAAATGTGTTCCTTGTGATTTTATTAAACGTTGGCGATTATTTGGTATGTTTACATGCGTGGTACATTTGGTTTCATAAAAACCTTGAAAATGTGTATA